AATCTTGAACTTTTGGCCGGAATTTGGAATTCCGCCTGCTGGAATCAGCAGTGACTTCGAGTTGATCTTGTACGAAATCCAACCGTTCATCACGTGCGGGTTTCGGACCAGTGATAGCCATAGACCTTACGCACGCGATGCAATTGGTCGCACGTCGATCGGGCTCGTGGGTGCTGTGATTGGCGCTCGAGTGACCGGATGTACGGCAGGAAATCTGTAACATGTTTCTTCGAATTGCGAACTTCTCTTTAGCTTTTCTCCCTGCTTCGACCTCGTCACGGAACGTACCATATATCAAAACGCTCGTTTCGACGAGACGAACACGCTCCAAAATTTTTGAGTGCGATTCGATCTCGGACGAGGGAGATATGGACGTTGCAAGTTCATTATTCGTAACTGTGCTTTAATGGAGTTAGTTGCAGGGTGGCCATACGGGAATAATGTGCAGCTTCTCCTGTTTCGGTCTTTTATCCATAACTTCTTCTTGTAGTGTTCGTTTAAGCTAAAATTTGACCTTTGGAGCTTTTCAACTGTGCCGGATCCAATGGCAGTGGTCCCACGGTCGTTTGATGCTCTGAAAGTAGGGTTCGATTTATAGAGGTCCATTTTAGGGTGCTAGAGGTTGATTCTGCCAAAATGTTTCTTCGTCTGCACTGCCTTAGATATGTCGGAATGCGACGAAACTTGGCAGGATGTTTTTTGGAGTCCTTATGAAGTTCTTGACGAGTTCTTGAGCCATTATGAGATTGTCAAAATTTCCACTGTTTGTCAAGCTTTATTGACCGGCTTTTCTCTTTTATTCCGCATCGGGGACCCATGGTGCTGAAAAATGTCTTCAAACAATGTGAAAGGTGGCACTCCCACTCTTGCCACTGGTCGTGATGTTTGGATAAAGGAAAGCACTCCTATTGTGTTCCCCTTTTATTGGAAATGCACTTCCCATTCTTGAAAAATCTTTCCCCTAGTGTATTTGAGGAAGATCCTCTTCGCCTCTATGGCAGGCTCCATTTTTGGAGGGCCTATAAAATGCATCACAAGGTAAGTAAGGGGAACATTGTCATTCTTGACCAAATTTGAAAAATTCTAGCATAAAAAGATTTTTAACTATATTTTGAAGTTATTTTTCCTTTGAAATATGTTTTTATGCTTTTTTGAAATATTTAATTTACGTGCTCACCCTTTCTTGGGAGCTTCAGGTGAAAAACTCTCCCTCACTCCAATTATGGATGGAGTCCCCACCATGAAATTGGGGTCCAATGATGCAAAACCTTGATAAAGGTTTTATGGTTCCCTATCTCCTTGTCAAGTAAGCGCTTCGTTTTTCAGCTCTGATTCTTCTCCTGGGTAGAGCCATCTTTTCCCCTTGCTTTATTATGAGTTTAATATAAAGCATTGAGGGTCCTGTCAGGGTATTCCCTCCATGGGTAGGAAATGCCCTAGCATTAGTTGGGGTGATTATTTAAAGGGAAATTGTTTCATGCGGGCTGGACTGCATTTCTACAATATACAGTCCAGAGGTATAAAGCAGATGTAACTAGATGGTCCATCTAAAAACAAGGGCAACTAACGGTCCAAATATTTTTTAATATAATTATTATTTCTAGTTTTCAAAATTTTTTTTTCTTTCATATTCATGATCTCCATGGTAAAGATTATATATTCACTAAAAATTAGGATCAAATTATGTTTAAAAAATATGTTTATTGCCAAGCCCGCATTTCTACAATATGCGGGCTGGCCACATAGAAATTGGGTCCTTGTTTAAAACCTTCCTTGGAGTGCTCTGAACCCCTCCTTTCAGCTAGCAAAGCTGTACAAAAACCACGATAAACAAGTGCCAAGGCCTCTGCTTTAGGGAGGCAAGGCAGTAGAAAAATGTGTCTTGCCACTTTAGGGGGCATTAGAGAGGCTTGTGGTTCACTGATGGAACTGGACAATGATTTGGTGGAGGATCTGGAAATGATTTTTGGGTGTCTATTGATTATTGCTCTAGAGCAATGATTGATCCCCATTTTGAATCACAATGTATTTGGAGAGGGATGGGAGTGGTCTCACTGGTAGTAAAAGAAAAATGCCATGCGAGGGCTAATCTTAGATAACAAACTTGAAATGTGAAGGCGATTTGTCAACCGAAAGGGAAAGAACGTTCGGGAGGTTGTTATGTGCTTATTGCCCATAGGAGCTAGGTCATCTTTGTTAGAGGAATCCTAGAACTAGAGTTGGTTGGTATAACATGACAAAACCACTGGAAGCAGGGCGAGGAAGATATCTAGGCAGGAAATGATCAATAGCTACCTAGAGAGGGCCAGTTTATCAAAGGGTAGAGTAAAAATATTATAACAGTATGAAGCTGTAAGGTTCCTTGCTGAGGTATTATTTGAACATTTTTTTATCCTTCTTGACATTGAGGCTGCAAGAGGTTGCTCATCTCCCTTCTGGTTATCAAAATTTGGTTGGCCATCCAGTTTTTTGGTACAAGCCATCTGATGGCAATTTAGATGTCATATAAGATTGCTTTTGAATTGGTGGCTTTCTGGGTTGGGCCATCCAGTTTTTTGGCCTTCAGTGGGTTACCCCCCTGACCTTGAACAATCTTTTCGAATCCCCCTTTTCCCCACCTTTCTCAAGAAATGGCAAAAAACTTTGGCATCTCTTGGTTGCGGCCTTGCTTTGGAGCATATGGCTTGAGAGGAATTAATAAATTTTAGAGGTACTGTGAAGAGCCAACACCAACTTTCCATCTTTGATTCCATCACAACTCTCATCTCCCTATGGGCCAAACTCATACCAACATTTGTCTCTATCCACATCACCCACTTCCTGATCAACTGGGAATGCCTCGTAAACTTATTTACTCCTACCATGAGACCTAGAGCAGCTTCCCCCACCCCCCACACCTGGTTTCCTTAAACTCAACACAAATGGGTCATCCCTCGGGAATTCAAGGTTTTTTGGAATTGGAGTCACGCTTGCAGATGCCTCTAGCACTCTCCTTACTTTCTCTCAGTTCAACGGTGTTAAGGACAACACCACTGCAGAGGCTTTGGCTGCCCTTGAAGGGCCTTAAACAAGTGGCTCACCTCGGGCCTATGACTCAAGGACTGATTGTTGAATCAAACTCCAGCAACACCATTCAATGGGCCACTCACCAACAACCACCTTGGCGGCTCTATTCAATATTTGAACATATTTACTTTCTCTGCAGCTCTCTCCCATGTGTAGCTTTCAGACATATTCTTTGAGAGGCTAACTCAGAAGCAGATGGGTTGGCAAAGGAAGGAGCAGTACAAGGTACAAGTGCAACCCTACCCCCCTTGTACCTCCCCTCTCCTCTCTCGCTCTTCTCCTTTTTCTACTTTCTTCCTCGTTATACACCTCATTCCCGTTCTCCCTCCAAAAACAAGAAAAGGAGGGAAAAAAGGGGGGAAAAAAAAAAACAGGAAAAAAATTCAGAAATAAGGGAGAAAAAATATATAGGTTTTTTTAAGCATATTCTCATTCCTTACCTTTCTGTCTCTCTCACCTCTCGCTCTACCCCCTTGTCTATTCATCTGCCTTTGTATTCAACTACTCTCTCTTCTTTCTCCCTTTCCCCTATCCCCCTCCCTCCTTTCATCTGTTTTCTTTTTCCCATTTTTTCTTCCTTCCCTTACTCCCCTCATTTCCATTCACTCTTTGAGAGACATTTCTTTCTACCACCTTTTCTCCTTCTCGCTTCTTCCTCTATCTTCATCCTCACTTCTCTCCCTCCCCCCTTCGTTCATCTCACTGCCCCCACCTTTCTTTCTCCCAAACCCATCTCCTTTCCATATATTCCCTCCTTTATATCTCTCTTTTCCTTTCCTCCATTTCTCTTCTTTTCTCTCCCTTTCCTCTCTTCCTCTAGGTACACTTCGTTCGAGCGAGCCACTGCAACCTCGGATACATGAAGTCGAAAACCCGTCAAAGCCCTGCGAAGCATGTGACGTTCTCAAGGCAGAAGCATCCCAAGAGCCTTTTCAAGAACAAATTCCTCTTTCAGTTCTCTTTCTTCAAATTTGTCTTTGCCTTTTGAGCGAGTTACTGCAACCTTGGATAAGCGAACTCGAAGACCCGTCAAAGCCCTGTGAAGCATGCGACATTTTCAAGGCGGAAGCATGCCAAGAGCCTCCTCAAGAACAAATTCCTTTTTCAGTTCTCTTTTTCCAATTTTGTCTTTGCTGTCACCCCTGGCAAAACTTCTCACTGTTGCACATATTTTTTCCCTTGTGTAAGTGGATTCGCCGTTTTTCTTAGCACCTATCATTGGGTCCTCTTTGTTGCAAATACTCTCTTAATCCTAGCATATCTACTGACTACCGTCGCTTTCTTTCTCTTTACCCTCTTTTCTTTACTCTATCTCCCCTCCAACAGTAATTGATGTAATATGAGTACCTAACTTGTGGGATGTCGTCTTGAGTTTCGTCCTTATGTAATTCCTTTTACTCTATATATACAGTTAACCTTTTCCTCAAAAAAAATAAACATACTATCAATTGTTAAAAGTTTAAAAAGGGCATTACTATGAAAAGTTAAGCTGCTATCTGACAACATAAACCAACAAAAGGTGTTTTGTTTGTTGTACATCACACTTCTTTATCATCTGAGGTTACATACTAAAACTTTCTATTTGATGACAAGAGAAGACATTTGTCAAAATCTGACTGCCTTTCACATGGTCAACTTGATAGTCATTCTTGTTTGCGGTAATGCCTATATATCTGGTTATATTCAATCTATTGCTTCTTCTTGCATGTACATATCTATCTCACTACAGGCTCAAACATGATGACATTGATCAGTAGTTGCTATGGTTGGTTCTTTTGTTTTTGGTTTCTTAAAACCAATTCACTTGAGCTATAATATAAGATTTTCTCCTTGATTTGCTGCATTTTCACTTGTGTCATGCATTGGAATTCTTGTAAGATCTGTGACCAACACTTTCTATACATGGGGAATGATTGTCTCTTTTTGATGATTAGATGGAAGAAAAAGTGAAGGAGATCGTGGAAATGAAACAGCGTAGCTTGGCAGAAGAGAACCAGAAAACACTTGATCTTTTGGAAGAAAGGTATCCTACAATTCCTCATTTCTTATTTTGGTTTGATATGATATCCTTGTTCCTTCTTTTTCTCTTTGCTTTACATAGAAAGTATAGGTTTTCGCCAAAATCATGTCTTGGATGTAGCAGGTAATTAGGTGATACTAAATTTGGGACCTGACTCATTCGAAGTATGTCCCTTACCACCATGCTAATTTTTGACAATTGATGAGAATCATCATCATCATCGTCAAAGCCTTTTTCTAACCGATTGGGGTTGCCTATATGAATCCTGGTCTGCCATTCTGCTCTATTAAGAGCCATACCCTCAGTGAGGTCATAAGTCCCGATATCTTTTCTCCCTACTTCAAACCACGTCCTGACAATTGATGACAATATGGAGCTGAATTTATTCATTCAGATATTTGTCAATACAAACTACTGCTGGCAATATATTATGTTCCCTTACATTATATAGTTGCTGCATGATAAGTGATGATGGTGCATCAATTAGAGTTGATATTGACCTTTTTTCTTTTCCCTTGATTGATATTGCTTTTGGATTTATCTGGAAATCACTTCGCATCATGATTATTTTATCATGTTTTGACCATTTTGTTCGTGGGTAGCAGGCAGCGTCTCTTGCTTGATCAATTACATAAAGAAAAAGCAAGTGTCTCAAATATGCAAAAGTTACATGAACTTGGACAGAAACAATTGTTTGACTTCAGCGCTCGTTCAGGTAACTTGCTGAATGGTATCCCATGGGATTCTTATCCTTGTCAAAGTATAACCTCAATCTGGTATTTCTGGAAAGTGGCACATATAACTGCAACTGTGATACTCTTCTTTGGTGTATTTCTGTTACATATATCTTGGACTGAAATGATTGAATTGACTCTTTTCTATTATTTATTTTAGAGGAGGAAAGGGCAGCAAAGCAAACAGAAGTCAATCTTCTAATGGATGAGGTCGAACGAGCTCAAGCACGGCTTCTTAGTCTTGAAAGGGAAAAGGTATACATACAATTATTAAAGAACAAAATGTTATCTATAGCAATCAATTGAAAAGAATTAAAGAACAAAATGTTATCTTTAGCAATCAATTGAAAAGTTGCAACAAAGAGCCATATCTTTACAGATTAACTGATGTAGAAAATAAGAATTTTTTTTAGAATACCAGTTGCAGATTATATGTTACATATTTTCGAGTTTTATATCGATTTATTACCCTTTCATTTATTTGATATTAGAAATATTTTGGTACCTTGTTTCACATCTCATGAAGTGATAGTTTATATCATCATCAACATTATCTGAGCCTTATTCCAACTATTTGGAGTCGGCGGCACGAATCGTGTTCCACCATTCCGCTCTATCAAGGGCTATACCCTTAATCAGACCATAAGTCAGTATATCTATTCTCAGTACTTCCATCCATGTCTTTTTGGACCTTCCCCCCGCTGCTTTAGAGCATTCCACTTGAACCACATTGCCCTCTGAACCGTATTTGCTCTAAGTTGACACTGCATATGGCCAGCTCACTTAAGTTTACTTTCCCTCATCTTATTACCTACTGGAGCAACCCCTAAATTGCGTCAAATGTATTCATTTTGAATTCTATCTTCTCTTGTCTTGCCACTCATCCATCGCAATATCCTCATCTCAAGTATACTCATTTTAAGAAAATGTTGTTTCTTGACGTGCCATCCCATAAAGCATGGTTGTTCTTACAGTAGGTCTATAGAACTTCTCTTTCAGTTTCATTTGTATGTGGCGATTACATAAAACTCTGGAAGCACATCTCCACTTTGGCCACCCAGCTCTAATTCTATGTTCAACATCTTTCTAAGTCTCTCCATTTTTATGGATTATTGACCGAGTATATCAAAAATAATCTTTTTTAGTTACTTCTTGGCCATCAATGTTGACTGCTACCTCATTTCTACCCTCTATTATTACTGAAATTGCATTTGATATATTCTTTCTTAGTCCAGCTAATTTTAAGATATTGGATTTTAGAGCATCTCTCCAAAGTCATGACTTTGCATTGTCGTCGTCTCTAAACTCATCAAACAAAACTAAGTCATCCGTGAGCAACACATACCATGGTGTGTCATCTTGTAGACATCTAGTTAACTCTTCCAAAACCAAAACAAATATATATGGATTCAATGCTAACCGCCTGATTTGGGCCTATGTCATTTAAAACGAACTTCTCTCCAATAGTTGTCCTCATACTAGTTCGCTCTCCCTCGTACATATCTCTTACCATGTAAAGTGATATTTCATATCAGTATATAAAAAACTAAAACTCAATGAAACTTAACTCGGTCACTGTCAAAACCGAGCCAACCAGCCTAATTAAACAATTAATAAATTTTTCCAAATTTTTGAAACATTAGAAAACTAGTCTATGTATTGGGATTCAAGTCCAGGTTGTCAGCAAGTTAGATCTCATTCTTACCACGTTGGAAAACACCATTTATGTGTATATATATATATATATATAACCAGAAAAGGGCGCATGCTGAGTTTTTCATTCATAAAACATGGCAACTGGGTGACTCAAGGTGAGTGTTTCCTAGTTGAAAATGAGTTTTTTATTCACTTGTTCGGGGATGGTTGAGTGCCACCCGCCACTAACATATTGCTGCAGTTCGCTAAATATTAAAAACTTAAATGATGAAAATAAAGAACAATAAACTGACTTCTGTAGTGTTGATGCATGAAAAGGCATCATCCTCCCAATCTAGAACTTGTTATGATCCTCTTAGAAAAGTCTGAAGTGAACTGCATGAATTTAACTGGTGGCTTAGCCATTTCATAATTTAGAGAGTGGATGTAAATTTGTTAGTAACTTTGTATTGTGCTACATGAGGGCCAGTTTGGCTAAGATTGTTATTTGCATTTTTATCATTACGACTTTTGTGGATGTGATGGAATAAGAACTTTCAATTGAACATCTCAGGTTTCATGAATGAAATTCAAGATTCAAGATATATATTCTTTATTCCATGCTTTCAAATTGTTGATTTAGGTTACTTCAATTCAGTGGAATTTGTTTGGGACACTGGCCATTACTGCCGCAATGGCAGGATTAAGCATGTTCTTTCTCAGTAGGAATTTACAATAACTGAATTTAATTTCTGTATTTGTTTAGTTAGTTACTTTTCAAAAACAGGATTGTTTAGATGCAATTTTCTGATTGTTTAGCTGTAGTTAATAAATCATACTTTTGTTCGTTTTGGCCATTTCATATGTGCTGTTTGGTTCTCTCATCCTGTCTTCCATTTAGCCTCACAATAAGTATTGGTTGAAAATAATCATCTTTTTTCTGCCCTTTGTGAAGTGTGTTTTAAAAAATTGTCATTTCTCAGAATTTATAGAAGATAGGTGCAAGTATTAACAAGATGTACGTCGAGAGGGAACATTATTGTTTTTGGGGAACAAAATCAAGCATTTTGGGTCTCGTCCTTCAATTGAATCCTCATGGCAGTGCATCAGCCTGCTCGTTTCATTTCTCTCAATGAATGTTTGAAGGACACTGTAAATCTTGCAATCAGGTCTGCAGATTATGCTATAAAGCCTTCAAACATTGAATGTCTTGGAAAGCTACAAATTCTTCCAGGTTGCATTGATAAATACGAAATAAATGTGTGAGGGAATTACATGTGTCATGGAAATGTGTTTGATTTTCCTCTCCATTGTCAGTGATTTAGATTCCTCTGTTGGGATAAGTGCTGCTGCAAACCTTTACTTTTTTATCTTAAGGTTATAGCTTGGTGTGTTAGCATGCCGAACTTGGGGATATTGGGCTGTATCTCACCTCTGTTCAGATTCGGTTAAAATTGTTAGTAACCCTTCCCATTGGTAAAAAAGACATGCTTAGATCTCCTTCAACAATTTGGTACATAATTTCAGGAACTAGAAGATTTCTTCCCTTTTCGGGCCTTGATGGACTCAGGGTTTAGCTCTTGTCACAGGCTCACTGTTTGCTGGAGACCAGTTGTTAATAAGTTTTTCTCCATGTTCGATACCACCTATGATGTCTTGACTTCCTCTGATGTCTTGACAGAGAGCATACAACCGAGCAAAGTCCTCCATCTCAGGGCAGATCTATGAGATCAAAAATATCTTTTAATTATCTACCATGTTACCTGACTCAGTATTGTGGTAATGTTTGGTCTTAAGCTGTTGCATGCTTGAAGATTGCCACATTATATCTATGTTATTATGTTTACCAGTTAATGGGTATTACATCTTTTAAACAAGTTACCTGCAATCTAATCAGATCTTGTTCCTATTCAGGAACTCCTACGCGCTCAATTACAAGCAACAAACCAAGAAGATGAGAAAAAGAAAAGGTGTGATGTTGCATGTTTGTTATTTCTGGTTGCCAACGACAGGCTTATAAGACATGTAGTTGGCTTATTTATTTTGTATGCGTTATTTGAATGTATTATTTTTTCTCTTTTGTTTATTACTGAATTTGAGATAGTTATTATCGTTCTATAGCGGAACTTCAAAGCAAAAGAGAAATATTGATAGGGTGTACTAAATTGTCATTTAACTTTTTTGTCCTACATGCTGCTAATATTTTGTAAGTGGACGACATTTTGAATTATCACAAATGTTCAATGAAAGGGAGGGCTCTTGAACATCAGCAAACATACCAACAAGGAAGGGATTGCTTACTGATTGAAATTGCTATTTGGAAGCATCCTCTACAAAGAAGTGAAGGTGGCCTTGATATATGATAAGATGCAGTTGTCTGGGGTTGAGGATTTCTCACAGTTTCCTTTCATGAATTTCAAAGACAATTGTGAATAAAGTATTGGTTCTTTGATAATTTTCCTTGAATGCTTCAGAAAGCTAAGGGGTAATTTAACCTAATTTGGACTATTTAATGGAGGCTGATAGAAGTTTTCTTGTTAGATTTCATAAGAATATTCCTAATAGACCATTTAGAAGGGTTGAGCAGGTCATGCCTCTTATATCTTTCAGAGTTGCTGGAATTCATGTAGAGGGGAACTTTGAATTGGAAAACTTGTAATTACCACATGATTGCAGTTCAGATATGGATGGGGAAAGCGGGCAACTACTTTCACAATGGTCCTTGGAAAAGGCATGTGATTTTGTTTGAGTGAACTCATCTTAATGATGTAGTTGATCATAAGGGGATGGATAAGGTCCAAAAGCTTGTATGTGTATTATTAGTAGTTGGTCTCTGAAGGGTGTCCCATTTGCTCTTATAAAGTGATGAGAACAACATTGCAAAGTGAAGTATGTAAGTCTTTACATCCATGTCTGTCTGCCTTTTCTGCAACTTGATGTAAATGATTTCTCTCAACATATAGGCAGTTTCAGAAGAAAATTTTTTTTTTGAAGAGAAATTGGTTATTTTTTTGTTGCACTATGAATGAAGTGCGTAGGCCTTCTACGCAAATACTTTAGGGGAAATCGACTTAATGGTGAACAAATTTGCTAGTAACCTAAATATGGATTTGTAAAAATATGCCTTTATTTAGTCTAAATTTTAATTATCTGGAGTTCAGGATTAAAGAAAGCCATTGTTTTTTGGGGTATATTTCCTAAGTTATCTTTTAATATTTTATTTAGTTCCTCAATCTGATAAATGGATTTTGCTTCCATCTATACTATACAATGTTATTATGGATTGGTCATCAGCCCTGTGAGGGCACCTGCCTGGCTGTTTCTTTGGTTAGATCTGTTAAATGTATAATATGTGAAAACTGTTCAAAACCGCTCTGAAGTACTTTACTTCGGCCGGTTCAACCTTTTGAACCAGTTGAACTGACTGGTTCATACCGTTTCTGTCCAGTTCTATCCAGTTTGGGCAGTTACCAATTCATTGCTCTGACCATTGGCTGGTCGAATTGGTCGGACTGGCCAGTCCGGTGTGTTTTTAATAGCATTGATTCTGTATGAACATGGGTATTATGTTACATTTATGGTTGATTACTTACATATGACTTGGGCTTTCTGGTGAAGCAAAGCCTCCCATTTTAGTATAAGAAATTCATGAAGAAAACAGTTAATAAGCATTTGCAAGTGTTGCCCTTTGATTATGGAAGAGATAAGTCATGAATCAGATGAAGAAGTACCTGGAACTATATTATCAAGACTTATACATGGAAGTCAAACACGAGCAGGATACAATTATGAGACTTGGAAGTTTCTGAAAAAATTGGGTGCAGGGACATGTAATATATTTATATTTAAAAAAAGCAAAATATAGTAAGTGCGAAAATATATTATAAGGAAGAAAATTCTGAGAAACGAGTTTTAAAATAAAAGAGTAAAGAAAGACTATGATAGCCTACTATCCCAATGACCAGTGGTATATCTGGCAACTTCCATATTAGCTTAGCAATTACTAAATTAGCTAACCTATAAATTATCTAAAGTTTATTTGACAAACAATCAATAAGTTTCTACATGGAAACCTAATAATCTTTAATAGGATGTGCTACTGCACTTTAATCCTATATTATAACATTTACAGAAACAACTTCTAAACTCATATCCTGCTAGTCTTATATAAGCTTGGCCATTTTTAATTTGCAAGTCCCCAAGTTTTGGGCTTAATGCTTATTGATCTGCCCTTCCTTATTACTTAGAATGCCTTTATAGCTTGCAGATTTCGCATTCCTGTTAGCAAATCTATGAAACTTCCAACTGCAGCACTTTATATAGAGAAGAAACTCATACTATTTATATTAATAGTGTTTATCTTGAAATATTTTATCGATTAGTGAATTACTTGGAATATTGGAGGCCGATACTTGTATCCTTGGTCAAAACTCCAATAGTAACTTTTTTTTAAAATAAATAAACTGAGGAGCATGACCTTTATCAAGTTTGAACAAATAAGATCATCCCCATCCTTCCAAATAAGCCAAACCATGGGGAGAAGGTGGATACTGCTGTCCGTCCTTTTCGTTCTTGTAACAATAAAAGAAACATATAAGACATCACAAGTTAAATATTGAAATATTAATCTAGGGTCAAACATTAGAAGCTGATTGTGGTAGCTAGATCTTATGCGGAGGCAATTATCGGATAATGGTTATACCTAATTGACTCAATTTCATGATGATGAATTTGGGTCCATCTTTGTTTCGATGTGCACTGTGGAAACAATGTTGTCATCGCATGGCTTCCAACCTAACGTTCTATGAGAGAACCAAATGTATTGGGGTGGACTGTCATAGGGAAAGCAATATGTACCTATTACCCTTCAAATGTTGAAAGAATTTAAAGGCAGGTCATATTTAAGAGTAAGATGCAGTTCATGGTAGCTCTATCCGGTGTAGAGGTGGAGTATAGGATAATTGTTATGTTACTTCCAAGCTAATGTGACTCAAGATCCTCATGGCCAATGAATTTCAGGTCCATTATCCTTTGGACACATATTGTGATGACCAATTTGCAGTCATATTGTATTCTATGAGTGGGCTGGAGCATATTTTGGTAGACTGGTCATATGTGTCCCTTATCTGAAGTCCTAACAGTAGTTTCGGATGTATTTACTTATCTTCTTTGAAGGCATCGATGACATTCGATATTGGCCATTACATTGATGCTTTGTTAGATTTGTACAATCGGAACTTCCTGTGGAGTCTCTTATCTCTCTTATTTGTTTCTTTCTTCTATAACATTTCTTCACGCCTCGCTCTAGCTACAATGCTTCTTAAGTCGAACCTTATTGTCTCATAGAGAATTCCTTGTTTTATTAATTTATACTCTATTTGTGAGCCAATTAACATTTTTTTGTCACTATCATTGGGACCTAAGGTAGATGGGCTGTCCTTTTTGTACAACTGCATTGACAAATTTCTGGATTGTGTTTTTCCTTTCAATATAGCTGTTTGTGTAATGCTTTGCATGATTGATTAGCTGATGAAATGGGCTAATTATTCATAATGAACATGGCAGTGAGACTTTGAATACTAGTAGCCTGGAGATATCCTTAAATGCAAAGGAGAAAATTATTTCTGATTTGCACATGGAACTTCACAATATGGAAACCGCTTTGTCAAATGAGCGAGAGCAACATTTGTTGGAGACCAAGAGATTGAAGACACTTCTAATGGACAAGGTCATGTTTCTTCCCTTCTGATGTTACAGTACTTTCCTGATAAGAGGTTCATTCAATTGCTTCTCCATTTTTGTACACCATGCAAATGGTTGATAGTCTCTTTACTTCTATTTCTTGGACTGAAGTTATTTCAAGAGATACGCAAGCCGGAAATCTAGTTTCATCATGTAATTCCATTTTGCTCAAAACATATGTACTTGAGGTTTGAACCTGCGGTTGTTGTTGAAAAGTGTCCAGGAAAAGTTGAGGTTGAGAGAATGGCATCTTGATATGCATCAATCAGTTTGTACCTAATCCATACTATAAACCTCATGGTACTCTGGGAAGTATTGTAACATTTATTGGTTCACCAATTGAATGTGAAGAAGCCTGAACTTTCACTGATAAATAGATATGAATCCCTAAAGAATGATAATAGTAAGAGCTAGTGCCAACAAAGAGGTTAATCATGGAAAAAACACTTGGGGATCAGCTTAGGTAGTAAATTACTGATTTTCAACACTGGTAGCAAGCAACAACTTCTTTTGAGCAGCAATAGAAGACTTGAGACTCTAAATTTTACTTGATATATTGCTAGAATCACATCTGAAAATTCATCAATAATGCTTTGAGATATTGCTAGAATCACATCTGAAAATTCATCTGTAATGCTTTGATATATTGCTTTGAGATATTGCTAGAATCACATCTGAAAATTCATCAATAATGCTTTGATATATTGCTAGAATCACATCTGAAAATTTACTTGATATATTGCTAGAATCACATCAATAATGCTTTTCTAATTGGAGGTTTTTTTCTTTTTGAGAAAGTTACATGTGTAGATTTATCGAATCGAGTTTTGGTTACAAAGTACCCACAAGTTGACGGTGTGTGCTCTCAGTACCTTTCATGTTTACAGGTTAAGGAATCAAAAGATGTGGCTTAGTAGGTCCCACTGTTATTAAAAACCTAGGGTACTCTGTTGGAAAATATGGACCAGAACTACGAAGGTATGGACAGAAACAGAAGCTCATGATGTGTGCTTCACGCGGCTGCGCTGTTGTCTGTGGTCTACCTCTGTTCTTGCAAGTGAGTCAGCAACTGAGTTGACCTCCATGTGGATATGGTGCAAGGAGGCCAAGATCACCCTGCATGGGTGAGAGATGTCGTTAAACATGCGAAGAGTCACCAAGACTAAGGCGTGGACATGGACCCCCTAGAATTAACAATCATGGACTCTCCATTGACAACTAGGTGAGCTCCCCAGTTGTGTTCAAATCTTTTTAGTCCTTCCAGAATAGTGATGGATTTGGCCATTGTGGATTTGGCAGTAGCAATGAACCCTGAGAAAGAGAGGATGGTGTTGCCGTGATTATCTTGAAAATTCCACCAAAACCACTGTTTTCCTGGTCGCCCAAGGAATTACATCCACATCGAGCTTGATGGTGTTGGGTTCAGGAGGTCTCCAAAGGGTGGATCTTGGTAGTTTCTTAGGTCTGTGCAATGGAATGTTTACCCAGTTGGTATCGAAGCCCACTCTTGAAAAGGACTCAAAGGCCTTTGTATTTTTTTCACCCAAGAAATTGTTATGTGCAGAGCTGCGGCAGCCGAGATTCTTTCAGTACTGTCAAAGTTCTGTCTTTTGTCTCAAAGAAACCATATGGTGGACAGGACTGATGCCCTCCAAAGGAAACAACCAGTTGTAGGGAAGGATGGGGAGAAAAGCCCAAGAATATTTGACCTAGGACCACTGTAATAGTTGGAGGAGTTGGGCCAAAAGAGCAGCAGCGACCATGCTCTGAATGAAGGTGATGAATTTCCTTAGCTGCCTTGCAAAGAATATATCTACTTGGAGAAACCTGTTCTTTGAAGTTGGTCTATAGTTAGTGTTCGATTGGAGACCACTAGCCCATTGAAGGCTCTCACTTTGGTGGGGATGGGTGGCAGCCAAACTTTGTTGTGGATGGGAGGGGTGTTTGTTATGTTTCCTTGGCTGCGGTAGAATGAGGACACCTAGAAGGAGCCAGAGGTCCATATAATATTCTATTGGCTAAAACCCTGAAAGAGAAAGGGTTGTAGGGTCTGTAGGATGATAGGTCTTGTGCTTCTTGGTTATTGATTTTCCTTGTGATGGTAGGCCTTCAAATAGGTTTGGTTTTCTTCAAGATGTGTGGCTCCCATCATTGGTGTATGTGGAGAAATCAAAAAGGCTTGCCCATCACCCCCTTAGTTGTTAGTGGGCGCTCTATAGATCTCGATGGCCTTATATCTTCTTTCGAGGAATTGCCCTCTATGTGGAAAGATGCTCTTCCACGTTTTGGTGGTGTTTTTGCACCAGTTACCTTTAGGGAATCTGGCATTGGGGTTCTGTGCCATATCTGCTTAGGATAGCATTGTGCAACAATTGATCAATTTTGTTGCAAATCTCCATCACCATTTTCCCAAGAGTGTAGTGTTCGTTTTGCTAAGAATTTGAAGGCCCAAACCTCTGCCTTTTTTAGGTAATCAAACTTTATCACATCCCACAAAATGCATTTTCTTAGTGGTACCAGAGCCAGACCATAGGAATTTTCATGAATCTTTCTAGATTTCTTGGAACGCTAGTTGACATTTGGATGAGGGGGTGAAAGAATATGGGGATCTTCGCAAGGGTGGCTTTGATGTGGGTAATGCACTCCCCTGTGTGTTCAATGTTTGTGTAAAATGTGTTTCAAAACAACCATGGGTCTTTATGGTTTGGGTTATTTTCTTGATGGAGACTAACTCTAAGAACAGCATACATAACGTGCAATGTGCACGTGCATGCATGTGCAAATGCATGGCACAAGGGTGCTTTACTTAATGCTTTGTTCCAATTTTGGGGATTTTACGTACCACATAGTTGTTGGAAACAAGTGCTATGTGGAATTGATTTAGAAATTAGAAACACAAAATCGTGGGCGGCTAGAAGTTAACTATTGTTGGAATCGCCATCCATACGATGCAAATTGCAAGAATCAAGATTTCTGTTTTATGGGAATTGCTTTCCAAACCCAATGGAATCGAGATTCCTTGCCTCTTTGGAATCTTGCTCCATCCCATATGGAATCGAGATTCATACCTTTCTGGAACAGAGTTTGAACTCAATTAGAATCGAGATTCCTACTTTATGAGATCACACTCCCAACAAGTTCGATCCATAACAAAAAATCAACAGTTCGACTTTCTAGAGTAAACTTAAGCAAGAATCCTTAATAATGGAATCAACATATTGAGTAGGCTTAGCCATTATTCTCCATGTATTAGAATCAAGATCCTCAACTGTCTTAAAGACTTGAACAAAGGTTCTGTTGTATTGAAATCGATGTATTAAGTGGCCCTAATCACAATTCGCGACAGAAATTGGAATCATGGTCAAGTGGGCTTATACTAGATCTGAGGCTTACTAAGGTTCTGGATCGATTGAAGAAAGTCAAAATATTTGCTCCATTAATAATGAAATTAAAAAAAAAGATATCTACTTTAGGTTCTCAGACTTAGAAGTTACTCATGGAGTTCTTAAACACCAATAATATAATACTAATAAATTTGAAATAACAAAATGCTTCACTGGCTATAGAAATGATTCTAAGTACACGTAGCAGCCACTCATGGAGTTCTTAAATTCCGATCATATATTAGATAATAATAAATTTGAAATAACAAAATGTTTCATTGGAATTCATGATTACGCTTTCAAAGCATACAAATATTATTTCCTATATACTTGAAAATGAGATTTTGATTTTGATATCTATAGTTGATGGTGAGACTTTCTTTGGGTCTAAGTGATGTTCTCTCTTGTAATGCGAAACATGTAAATATTATTTTATGTATACTTGATGATTTTGATATATATAGTTGATGGTGAGACTTTCTTTGGGTCTATGTGATGTTCTCTCTTGTAATCTAAATCAAATCCAAATCTCTTACCCAATTATCTTTTTGACAAGTTGTAGTTTCATGCACCTATGAGCCGTGGTATTTGATGCTGTGGAATTTGGATAAAAAAATAATCAAATCGTGATTCAATAAATGTAAAAATTGAGATTCCTAACTTCACAGAAATGGGTTCCATGAAGAATTCCTGAGAAGAATTGCTGAATCAAGATTTTGAAGCGGAGTTGCCACTTGAGATAATTATTTAAGATTTCTCAAGGTCTAGGGTTTTGTAGTTTGGTAAGGCTCTTTGTCCTTAAGATAGAAAAGCCAAGTGTACTTTTGTGGGCTATGCTGAACATAGCAAAGCCTATAGACTTTTGGACCTTGAATATGGGGATGCAAAATTTTTGAAAACACATTTGTTGGTCTATGGTATTTATGATGGTGATTTGTTGGTGAGCATGATGATGAGTGTGAAGAACCTCATGGAAAGTGTGAAATTAATGTGCATGAGAACCTTGATGCTTAGTGCAAGATGGGGCTATGTGGAACTCAAGGTATTAAATTCAAAATTTTTATTTTGCTTTTATTCCAAATACCTGAATTCCACTTACACGAGCCACAATATGTTGCTGTAAAATTAAAATAATCTCTTGGATACAACTCAAGATCTTTATTTTGACTGCTAAGAGAAATGAAAACTATCCAGGACCTTAAAACTAACTTCCACTATAATTTTTGTACAAAATAAGTTCTTGGGAATATACAGAAAATAGACAATAATACTGAAAATTAATTAAAACTATTGAGAAGACTTATTGGAAGATACCTGAGATTACCCTACCAGGACTTGGTACACCCCACACCTAATTCCCTGACCAATGACGCACTTTACTCCCCTAGGTGTTGCTGGAAATTCTGAGATAGGGAAACTTTATAGGCAATACTTCTTTCTCTACGGTTTTTAGAGAGCTAAAAAATCAACTAGGGTTTCTGCAAACGCTATAAGAACAAATTGGGGCGGCATCTGTGATCTCTCTTTGGACTAGGCTTCTCTCTTCTCTGTTCAAATACAACAAACCTCTCTTGCTCTAGGATTTCATTATAGCACCAACTTT